CCTCATCGCGGGTGAGTGAGGGATGGCAGTGAGGGGCTGGCACTGGGGGATCTGCAGTGCCCGGGCAGGGAGCTGTAATCCGTGCCCCGGCTTCAGAGGGCTTCTCTCCCTGTGTGGACACCTTGGTGGTGTGGGAATATCACAGAGAGATTTCAGGGACATGGGGCAGGGATTTGGGTGGGGTGTGGATTCGTGACCAGGACCTTGCAGCTGATCCTGTTGGCCTCTTCACTCTTGTGGCCACGGCAAGAGCAGGCTGGGATGGCTCTGGCAGGACTTTCTCCTAGGATTCCCACAGATCTGGGCTCTGATCGCGGCTCTGTACCACTCTCTTCCAGCACTTCAAGCTCTAAAAAGAGATGACAACCCTTCTGAGAGAAACACAGTTCTTCAGCAGACGTTTATTGAAAGAACTGAAGAATTACGCTCGTCTGCTGGCTTACGAAACCAGTCTTCCTGTAAGATACTACAGATGATGAGGCTACACCGAGACCAGAAGAGACCAGCTGGAGCTCCAGGCACTGCTGGCAACTGGCCCAGCTGAGACACTGCCCATCCCTTCTCTTTCCCTCCACCCTCCCTCCCTTTTGATAGCTCCCTCCCTGCAGCCCTCAGACACTGCCCATCCCTTCTCTTTCCCTCCACTCTCCCTCCATTCTGATAGTTCCCTCCTTGCAACCCTCAGACACTGCCCATCCCTTCTTTTTCCCTCCACTCTCCCTCCCTTTAGACAGCTCCCTTCTTCCAGCCCACAGACCTTGCCCATCCCCTTTTTTGCCCCTCAGCTCATCCCTTTGCCTCACACCCCATCAATAAACAGTTTGCCTTTTTCACTTTACCTGCATCTCTGTGGAGTTGAAGGGTCACAAATCCAGAGCGCTGTGACACTCAGGCCCCTCCTGCCGTTCTCTCCTGCGCTGTGTTTTGTGCAGAGACGCAGAGGAACGAGCAGAGATCAGGCTGGAAAGGTCCCTGTGCTGAAGGTCCAGTTCCACAGCACTGTGGAGTTAAAGGTTTAACTGAGCACCCTGAAGGCCTTGGATTTTGGAGGAGCCAAGCTGAGTATGCCCTGAAGCCGGCTGTGAGGGATTCTGTGGCAAGCATGCACCGAGGGCAAAGGAGCTTGGAATGCCTGAGTCTTTCTAGAACAGCTTCCTGAAAGCACAGCAATGCTCCATCCCTGGACAGGATCAGGAAGAGGGCAGAACTGTTAGAGCCAGCAGAGAGATGGGGACTTCAGATGGCTCTTCTTTAGAATGCTGTTTATTCTATCAACTAGATTACAGCAGGGGGTCGTGGGTCAGCCTACAGCTGCTGGCTACAGGCAAGCCCTGTGTCCTGAAGCCCACTTAGTTCTGCTTACAGTGCATTATATCACTTTCTTTTGCTGTCTGTATCATTGCATAACAACCAATCAGCATCATACACAATACCTTTACATGTACATATATTCTATCAAAACTGCTAAAATTACCATACTATGTTAGTGACTAACTAATCATTTGAGTTAGTAATTACATATTAAATTTTCAAAGTTGTTTTGTAGTGGAAAATCCTTTTTGCTTTGGTAAAAAATGTCTTTCTGTCTGCCTGTGCTTTTTCACTTGGTAGAAAACATGCTTTGTTTGAAGACCACTTAAATCTTTTGGACTTTAGCCATAAAACCTCCTTCTAACTGACTAAACCTTTGTTCTAAACCTTCCAACTCGACTAAACCTTTGTTCTCTCAGTGGTTTCAGCAATAAGTGGCCCTAAAAACATCTTTTTATATATCCAAGCTTGCTTTCATTTCTAGAGAACCTTCCGGTAAGCATTCATATCTGTAAAATTTTTGTTAAATTTTCTTCCTTCCTAACATCTCGCCCGGTCTGATGAACAACATAGATGCTAGAAATTGTCTTATTCATCATTTGTGCACACATTGAAGTATACATGTGTCACAATCTGCTCACACAGGCGGGCGTCGTCAGAGGTTCATTTGATCTCAGAGTGCAAAAAGGACACCAAGGGATTTCAGTTTAAATCACAACAGCAATAATGCATCTTTATTTTAGTGCCAGCATCATGGGTTATGCAATAGATGAGAAGGAGAGAAAGAGAAAGAGAGACAGGAATAAAGAGGCAAAGTAAAGAGAGAAAACGGGGGGGGGTAATAGCTACCAATGGACAAGATGGGGTCACCCGTGTCTTCTTCCGTGGGGAACTCTCTCTCCAAAAGCAACTTAGAAAAGTCACCTTTATAGTCTCAAGTTTCAAGGCAAGGGGCAGTTGGCCAAAAGGTGGGGAGATGTATAGGCTATTGTGGTGTGACCCGTTGCTCTGGCAAGCAGGTGTGAGGTACTGAACAGGCCCCGCTCCTCACAAGTCCCTGCTCAGCAGCAGGAACGAAGGCAGTGTTCCGTGGCAGCACAGCAAACACCTGCAAACAATCACTCTTGTGCTGTAGGTCGAGCACACCTTCAAACAATGGCTTAGCAAGCATCCACCTCAACCAGGCCAGAACCCCTGCACAAAGTCCCCTGGGCTCCTCAGGGTCTCGGTCTCTGTTCTTGCCATGCTCGTGAGGCAAATGAGGGAAACTTCAGACCGTCTCTTACACCACCCCGTGACTCACCATCATCATCAGGAGGGCTCCTTTGTAGTGTTGTTGCGAAGTCTTCAGGTCTCCTCAAAGGTTGGTAGCATACCCTGGAAAACAGAGACAGAAAATCAGTCAGAAAAAGAAAAGCAGGAAAAAGATAAGGGTAAGAAAAAAGGAAAAACAAAAGCAAAGAATCAATTTTCAATTAAAATATACATTCAACTTCTTATTTCAAAGCATAAGCAATTTCAATTAATCCAATACAACCCAAATAAACAATTTCAGGCAATTTCTTGATAAAGAGGGCCAATTTCCTATTTTTACTTTTCCAAAATTTCAATTAAATCCTGGTGAAGCTGATAGTAAAATCTATTCTAAGATTCTAAAATCTTAGAAAATTTGGAGACTTAGAAAGAAAGTTAGGTTTGGAAAGCCCTGGGAAAAGTAGGCCCTGAGAAATGTTAGGCCCTGTGCTTGCTAAAGATCAGGTCAAACTGCACCCGTGTAATCTGAATATGATAAATGATACAATTGTTAGATGTGATCAGATATAATTATAGTTTAAAGAACATAAGGAACAATGTTAGGGGGCTGGGGGGGATCACAAGAAATCCATGCTTGGGTAAAAACAATGCATCCAATAGAACAATGTAAGTTTAATAATTAATATATAAGTTGTATAATGATAGAGTATAAAACATGTTCAGTTCAAAACCAAGATGGGTCAGATTTGAGTATGTGCACCCCTGACACCCAGAGCTCTTCAATAAAGCACCTGCATATAATCAATCTGTGATGATGTGTGTTCCTGAGCACTGACATTTTGGTGACCCAGATGGGACCCTGTGAGTGCTGCTGAGCGAGTTCATGACCCGATCACGCTCCAGCCGGCACCGAGGGATTCTCGGGGAGCCCATCTGGCTGTGACCGTCTCCTCTGCTCACAACGTCCCCGGGAGAGAAAGGTAAGGTGCTTTATTTTGGTTTGGGTGCCTGCCAGTTAGACGCGGCGAAAGCTGCGCGTGGTTGGGCTAAAGGAATTCCTCTTGGTAATGCCCAGGCGCTGTCCATAAGACGACTGTGAAAGCATCGCAGGTTCGACATTTGGTGTATTGTAGTTG